TCATGGTAACCATAGTAATGTTCTGGTTCCTTGGTTGTTGTTGTTTCATGTTCGTAACCATAGTAATGTTCTGGTTCCTTGGTTGTTGTTGTTTCATGTTCGTAACCATAGTAATGTTCTGGTTCCTTGGTTGTTGTTGTTTCATGTTTCGTAACCATAGTAATGATCTGGGTCCCTCTCTTGTTGTTTTGTGGTGGTGCGCATAGTAATATTTGGGGTGGTCGGTTGTAGTTGTCGGGTCAAACACGTCTTGGTAACCATTGTACTTGTATTCTGGATAACTTGGTTCATCAGTAGTTGTATGGGGGTAAACATAGTAATGTTCTGTTCTTTTGGTTGTTGTTGTTGTTTCATGGTAACCATAGTAATGTTCTGGTTCCTTGTTGTTGTTGTTTTATGTTCGTTGCCATAGTAATGTTCTGGTTCTTGGTTGTTGTTGTTGTTTCATGGTAACCATAGTAATGTTTCTGGTTCATCAGTTGTTGTTGTTCATGGTAACCATAGTAATGTTCTGGTTCCTTGGTTGTTGTTGTTTTATGTTCGTTGCCATAGTAATGTTCTGGTTCCTTGGGTTGTCGTCTCGTCGTAACCATAGTAATGTTCTGGTTCCTCAGTTGTTGTCCTCGCCGTAAGCCATGTAGATGTTCTGGATTCCTCAGTTGTTGTTGTCTACGTCCGTAACCCATAGTAATTGTTTCTGGGTTCGCTGGTTGTTGTTGTCTCGCCGTAACCATAGGTAAGTTATCTGGTTTCCTCAGTTGTTGTTGTCTCGCCGCTATACCATAGTAATGTTCTGTTCCTCAGTTGGTTGTTTGTATCTCGCTCGTAACCAGTAGTAATGTTCTGGTTCCTCAGTTTGTTGTTGCTCGCCGTACCATAGTAATGTTCTGCGTTCCGTCTAGTTGTGCTTGCCTCGCCTGTAAAACCATAGTCAATGTTCTTGGCTGCGCTCATTGTGCTCTGTCTCGTCGTAACCATAGTATGTTCCGGTTCCTTCAGTTGTGAATTGTCTCAGCCGTAACATAGTAAATGTTCTGGTTCCTCAGTTTGTTGTTGTCTCGCCGTAACCATAGTAAATGTTCTGCGTTCCTTCAGTTGTATGTTGTCGTTCGCCGTCAAACCATAGTAATGTTTCTGGTTCCTCATTGTTGTTCTGTCTCGCCGGTAACCATAGTTAATGTTCTGGCTTCTCAGTTTGTTGTGTCTCGCCCGTAACATAGTAATGTTCTGGTTCTCAGTTGTTGTTTGTTCGCCGAACCATAGTAATGTTACTGCGTCCTCAGTTTGTCTTCTGGTACAATGAGAATTTGTCATTTTCTCGCCGTAACCATAGTAATGCTTCTGGTTCCTCAGTTTTGTTGTCCTCGCCGTACCATCATGTAATGTTTTGGTCTGCCTACCAGTTGTTGTTGTCGTCGCCGTACCATAGTAATGTTCTGGTTCCTCCATTGTTGTTGTCGTCGCCGTAACAATCCATGATTTCTGGTTCCTTCAGTTGTTGTATTGTCCTCGCCGTAACCTAATTCGTAATGTTTGGTTGCCTAGTTGGTTGTTTGTTCGTCGCTCGCGCTAACCATAGTAAATGCTTCTGGTTCTCAGTTGGTGTGTTGTCTCGCGCGTAACCATAGTAATGTTTCGGGTTCCTGCAGTTGTTTGTTGTCTCGCCGTAACCATTAGAAGTAATGTTCTGGTTCCTCAGGTTGTTGTTGTCTCCGGCCGTAACCATTTTATTGACAACAACAACAACCAAGGAACCAGAACATTACTATGGTTACCATGAGACAACAACAACAACAGAGGAACCAGGTCAATACTACGGCTACCACGACAAAACGACAACCACGATACCTAAACACGATCACTACTTTACCAGATCAACTAAGAAACCACTAACACATGATGAATATGGCCTTGGAATAATTCACCACTATTAGGAGTAATTTATCTATATGTGATGTATCTGACATTCCAATATCGTACTGAATGAAGCACATGACTTATTTATACGTTCATTTGCCTTGACTTTATTACGATCAAATGTGACATACTACACATAATATACACTGCGCAGTGCATTTGTTCAGGACGCAGTGCATTGTGGCAAATATTTATGCTACTGATGAAATTTCGTACTATCAGTGAACCATGCACGTGTATACTATAGGAGTAGATATGCTTATATTTGATGGAACTGGCAATATTATAACTGATTGTTCCTGCACTAAATCTAACAAAAGTTAAATTTGTTAACCATCAGCATGACAAATATTCTACGTTATAGTGTTTTGCGCAGAATATTTAAATTGTAAATACAATATTGTTTGTAAAACACACGTTTACGATCTGACCCGTACCTAATATCTAGTGTATTCGCAATATATCTAATTGTAAGAAATAAATTTATGTATAGAAGTAAAGAACGAGTTATGTTGATATATATGTTCATAGAAAACTGGGGTAATCAAAACTACACACACTCACAGCTGTTGAGGTGTGAGTAAAGATTTAACATATTAACAGACTCAAAGCCCTGAGACAATTCAATATTAGTATACAATATTTATTTCAAGATACAAAAATAATAAATAGACAAGCTACCAGTCAAAAAGTGTTAAGTGCCTTCCCAAGATGGGAGCATTAGGTTGAGAAAATTACAGCTGCTGTTACAAGGGGTAAACATTAGACATTGGTGCACACTTCAGCCAGAAACCTGCGAAATATTTTGGGGAAAAAATTGTGATTGTGAGAGGCGTGAATAGGGGTACCAAGGTGCAGTAATATTAATATGCAGAGTGGTTGTACTATTATGGAAGAAAAATGCAAATCCCGCCACATGATTATAATTGAGATCAATGAGCTAGGGTGGAGGCGACTATTGCAGTTCACATCGTCACTTCCATAACCATTGCAAATGTTTTACGTTTTTGCTACACAATGACATAAGATTACACCGTGTGCATGATGGCAAAGTTAGTGCCAGCATTGAGAAAAAAACAAGCATTTAGAATTGATTCCGAAAGAATCGCAAACAAGGGGCGATTTGTTAATGATGTGGATCCTGCATTGATCCACGACTCCAGGTTCCCTTCCATATACCTCTGCATTCAGACTATTGAGTGGTGCCGCTCCGCATGCGCTTTCGTGGCTTTCGTCTTTTCGTCTGCCATTTGCAGAATTCTCGGTGTGGTCTCAATGACCTTGACAAGAAGGTCGTCAATGTAGTCTTCAAGGGCATGTACCAGCTTAGCTTTCTTTTCAATGGTGGACCACTGGTGGCACACGATCTTTAACAGCTCCTGAGTGACACAAATAACAAAATGACAAGGGGATGAACGATATAAAGATGTTAAATGCAGGAATAATGCAGGGCAGATTCTGCATTATATCTTCATAATCCTCACTATATTCTGGTTCACAGCTTACTTGAATTTTGAAGGCTCCATTCTTAGCCATACTACCATACTTTATGTATTTAATAAAACTATAGAGCCCTCTATATTCGAAGCAGGAGTTTTCATTGATTTCTACTATACTATATATGATAGACAAACCTGTTATTCTAGTGATGCATCTCGTTGCTAGATGCCAATTTTTACTAACAAAAATTACACACAGAGCCTCTCCAATGTTGCACAATTTCTTCGTTCACGATCTAAAACCACAGATCTACAATGATTCTGGTCAATTGTTCTCATTTCGAGAATCGAAGGTAAAAATTTCAAGCACCTCTCTCCCCATATTGGCGTAAGTCGATATAATCTCATCTGGTATTAGTGGCACCGCTTGCTCTTGCTGAAAGTGTGCAAACGCGTTGGTATGCGTGACATCTGGTGCATCAACCAACCTCAGAACTTCTTCAGAATCGCTACTAGATGCCGAACATAGTGAATGTCGCCTGGCACCTACAAACAATAAATTGCCAATTCGCATATCGTCGGACAACTACAGATGATTAACAACCTGTGCTGCACGGATTCTTTGCCACAACCTTACGCTCGCTGCCTGTGAGCGCATAAGTTGTGAGCGTAATCCACGCTAACTCAGAAAACCAACCTCAAACGAGCTCTTAGCAAGTACGACCTGTGTTTAGCCACACTTACATTGCATATAAAACAGATTAGACTTTTATTCCATCAGTCATGCGTGACAGGAGGAGGATAGAAAATGTTAGCAGCACATGTTTATGGATTGCGGAGCACAAAGTAACAGCTGGCAATTGATCAGAGCTAATCTGCTATTCTTGTTATCCCTAATACAGAGGCAATTGAGCAGCTAAGCTCCCGCCTGTGCAGATGTGATAAGAGTAGAATGGAAATTTATCGAGTCAAGCCATATAGTCTTCAAGGAGAAGCCAATCTTTCACTAAAGAAGAGCCAGTGGCGCAACGGATAACGCGTCTGACTACGGATCAGAAGATTCCAGGTTCAAATCCTGGCTGGCTCATACATTTTTCCCCTTACAGACATTTTCCTTGTTTTAGAATTGGTCTATTTTACAACAGAGTTTTACACCATCCCATTACTCCGAAAATATATGGCTATGGCGATCTCGCATCTAACACAAAATCTGTAAATGCAAAAACATGAGACTGTAAGAAATAATGATTGCAACCAAAACAATACCAGCTTCCACCAGAGTGCGTAAGCGTTCTCTTCTTGGTTTCACTTGGCAAGACTGGGGATCTTGTCGACGGCCATCTTTGCTAACGTTCCTGTTCATAAATGTCACGTCTCCTACAGACCCACAGCGACCGACTCCTGCAAAAACACGATTTGAGAAGCAGGCCATGAAAGAACAGACACCCATGAAGATCCCCTCAACTATGTTCGTTTACAGAAAGTTAATGTTGAAGCACATGTTGGCAAAATTCTGCCCAGTGCTGACTGGTTGGACGGTGCAGCTATCACCTACCTCTGGCGTAACAAGGTTCTCCCGGAAAGCCGACTATGGTGGCCCTGCGACCACGGTCCGATAGGTCAGAGTTGTGCCTCTCTAGCGACTTGGATTTTGCCGACTTCAAGCGCGTCAGGTCGAGCAGCGACATCCTGTGCTCGCTCACTCTCCGCCTAATGATGTCCGGCTGCTACTCCGCCGTGAAAAACAATAAAACCCACAGATATCATCGATGGGATCACGTCGAATTGTTTGGTGACTGAAACCCTTAGCCAGCCTATTGCAAACCATGGGGGTCCTGGTACCATGCACTCTTTTCACGTGAATTTTAAGATCATCGCAAAGGTGAAAATTTGAGAAAAATATCTACAATAACATCAACATGTAACGAAATCTATAAAAAACGAGTGTACAAAATATTGTTAAATAAAAAAGATTAGTATTTGACCTACGATCTTAAGTCGTACTTGAAATGTTTAAATTTTAAATTCTTTTAAATTTAAAAAGAATATATCTATCAGACAAAATCATTAGAAGGTATTTTAAAACAGTTGATTTACCCATTTTGACAGCATGTTTTTTCCTGAGCTGACATTTTTGGTATCCAGACTGATGTCAGATACCACAGGGGGCACCGCTTGCTTGGCTGACTTTTTCTTGATCCACGACTGCAAAAACCAATTCAGCGTCAATCAACTGTAATCAGTAAGTAAAATGTCATCGTGGGCTAATAATTAAATAACTAAATTACGATTCTAAACAACAATAAAAATTTAGTGAACTAGAATCCAAAAGAGGATGAAAATCGATGTAAAAAACATGTGAAAACAAATGTCATAATTATAGTGATTATTAATACACATCTACCTTCTTCCTGAACAGGGAAGATGCATGTCCATCTTCAACCTGTGTGATGACATCATCCTGCACTTCCCGTGCATCATGCACGTTATCATGACTCACTTGTACAGAGGGCGCCGCCCGCCTTGCCAAAGTGTTCAGCTTGTTCCCTGAGTAGGCAAAAAAGAATAAAGTTCAATGATAACAATAAGCTTAATCAATCTTATAGTTAATCGTAATCCCCTCCACGAGGGAACACAGAATGCTTTCAACACATATTCAGGGGCCAAGGTTAATTTACGGAGGCACGGTCCTGAACATTGTGTACAGCCATGGCCAGCTGAATTTATCATTGCATCAGGGCAGGCAACAACCTTCAGCATAATTTCAAATGTCACCTCGCATGGTTGAAATCTGTCGACAAATAGGCAGAAGGAATGTTTGGATACCAAATTGTATTGTTAGCTGTGGGTAGGTATAACCAGAACAGGTATGGATAATTGCATGCCTGCAGCATGGCACGTTAGGTAAACCTCTGCTTGTTTGCGCTGTCACTACTATCATTAAAGAAGCACCGAGTTCAATTAATGCACGACACCATTACATGGGAAAATTTACTCAGCGATTTCTAAACGAGCAGCATCAATTTTCCTACACTCAAAAGTGATTAATCAATAGTAAAACTCGTTTTTTCCAGTACTCTCACCCCAAAACTTCACAAGCAGGAAGGTATGGAGGAAATAATTGGGAGAGAATATTCACTAGTTCTATTATTCTATAAGCAATGCATTTAACTTGAACTGTGATTAAGATATGTACCTAGATGTGACCATGGTCCACCCATGAATCGGAACGGCTGACAATGCTGACTAATATAATATAATACGAATATATATATATATATATATATATATATATATATATATATATAACATATATAAGCGAACTGCTCACCGACACTGTTGGCGACGTTGAAAATCGAGGAGCCGACTGCTGCGGCCTTCTTCAGCTTGCCTTGCTCGGGAGACGCCTCCGTATGGTTTCTCACGATGCACGTAAGCCGCACCTCCAGCTCCCCGCGGTACTTGCTGTCCTTGTTGTCATGACGACCTCCAAGTTCCACCCACCTGCGTATAACAACCGCGCTAGTGATCACTTCTGGCCGTGAAAAACGTCATCGGTGAGCGATGCGGCCGTGTGACAGCTGATTAATCACAGTTATTATCAAACGGAAAGATTCTATTTACGACGAAAGTGGCGGAAACATATCATGGAATGATGTTATAATATTATAGATGAAATGCTTTTAAAGGACAGTAGGAAGTAACTGCAGAGTCGCGTGTATTTCTACTAACAATCACTGCTACTTATATTCAAACCTTTTCCACAATAGATTGATTACTACTAAAATAGACAACTCCCGCGTCCCACTGTATTCGCGCTCTACGTGCAGTTGCAAACGAACTCCACAGGCAGACACAAGTATAGCGCACTGACACCATCAGCCACAATCACCCCAGGGCGCATTCACATGTTCAAGCCCAGATGACCTAGAAAAACCTGCATTTGCATCATGGGGGGTGGGGGACTATTTTGATGCTAGGGGCTTGTACTGCCACAGCAATTTGGCAGTACCTACAACACGTTTTACACACAGACACATACACATACGCAGACTTGAATGCACATACACATGCTGACACATACAGCCTTGTACAGATTTTCGCTTGATCTGTTAGCCACGAAGGTTGGCAACCACTATTGGGCCATTGTGCAATTTGGCACTCGGGTGAGTGAAAGCTGGAATTGTAAAAACACAAGGTGTTACGCCACAATCGTATCATCAGGCCAACACTGCACCATATATTACTGTGTATCAGTTCTCGTGTAGATGCTGTGCCACTCACTTCCCCACCTTCTCACTTATTCCCTCATTCACCCACTCTCACTCACTCACTCACTCAACCACCCAAACCCACACACCTACCCAATCGCTTACTCAGTCACTCACTCACCGACTCACCCATCCAAACCCAAACACCCACCCAATCGCTCATGCCTCCCTCTCTCTCACTCACGCACTATCTCATCTCTCTACTACTGCTACTGCTACTGCTACTGCTACTACTACTACTACCACTGGCGCCCACAGGTCTTAAGAAAGTAGAAGCACAGAAGGATAAAATCCTCTGATAATAAAAAGCAAGCGCCGTAGGCGCGCTGCATGCTAGGGGGGTCTGGGGGCATGCCCCCCGTGGGAATTTTTGAATGGTAGACGTATGGAAATGCAATCTGGTGAGTCTTGCGAGAGAGATTTAGGAACAAAATTTTTTAACCCAAAATTTACTGGAAGCACTGTGCTTTCCGTCAGTTGCTGTACTGACTTCCAGTGCTTCTATGCTTCTATGCGGGCGCCACTGACTACTACTACTACTACTACTAGCAGTTGCTCCTACTACTGCTGCTGCTGTTGCTCCTCCTACTGTTGTTGTTGTTGTTGTTGTTGTTGTTGACAGTTGCTGTTGTTGTTGTTTGTGTTATACGCAATAACAACTTCACTATTTTGACTCGGTATGAATACAGATTTAATTAAATAATATGATATACAGCAGCTATAGTGAATGCTTAAATTCATGAAAAGCACGTAAAAACGAAAATCGTACGTGAGCACTCCTATGTGGGCCCTCCCGTGTTGCTCCTGTGCCACGGTACAGAGTATACACGCACAGCACGCAGATTTTTAACTGCGTAAATCTCCCAAGGCCTTTTCGCGATAAAAATGTAAACGATTATTAAGATTATAAAATCGTTATTTAATTGATTCAATATAAAAAAAGATCCAAAAGATAAAATTGTCAGGAAGCACGACGCCGATCGACGTTATCCATTTTGATAATACATTGATATCTTGGGTCACTGTCGTTCACTGTCATTCACTGTCGTTCACTGTTGCTCACGCTCGTTGCTTTTCCTCCTGCCAGGGAAGTGTCCGTTGAGCTGCGGGACGGACAGTGGCACCACGCATGCGTGCTGTGGAGAAGGGTCGCCGGCCGCTGGGCGATCTACATCGACGGCAGCCTGGTGAAGCAAGGCATCGCGCTGCACCCTAACGGTCGTCTGCGCAGCGGCGGCACGCTCGTTCTCGGACAGGAGCAGGACGTCGTCGGCGGCGGACTCGATCCGACGCAGAGCTTCGTCGGCTCCATCAGCGACCTGAACATCTTCGGGCGGTCCCTGACGGCACACGACGTGGCGACCGTACGCGCAGCCTGCACTAACCGCGGCGACGTGCTCGCCTGGAGCGACATCCTCGCCGACGTCCACGGCAGCGTGGCCGTCATTCGGCCATCTTCGCATCCGTGCACCAACGGAGCGACAAAGACGGATCCCCCAACACTACCGCAGGCGACAACAGCGAAGGCGTCGCCGGAACCTTATCGGACACCACCACCACCAGCCACTGTGAAGTTATCGCGAAGGGGTGGACCATCAGTACTGCCGGCAAATACTGTGAAAATATCGCGAGCGTATCAACCAATACAACCGTCTAGAAGTGCTGCAAGGGCATCGGCTAGTCCTCACCCAAGATATCGAGCAGCAACTACTGGCAACGTGGAGCATGATTACACGCCTGCAGTACATGTAACGCTGCCAGAGCGTTACCACTATTACAGCCATGCGGGAACAACAACAACAACTGAACTGAGGTAACCAAGAAACAATTACTATGGTTCGGCGCAGGCCCAAACACAGACAACTGAGGAACGCAGACCACATTACTATGGTTACGACGAGAAACAACAACTGAGGAACCGAGAAACATTAACTATGGGTTACGCTGACGATCGAGACAACAACAACCAAGGAACGGCGATACATTTATGGTTACGGGCGAGACAAGCAACACATGAGGAACCAGAACAATTACCTTATGGTTACTGGCGCAGCACAAACAAGCAACCAAAGGAACCAGAACATTACTAATGGTTACGGCGAGACAACAACAACGTGAGGAACCAGAACATTACTATGTTACGGCGAGACAACAACAACTGAGGAACCAGAACATTTACTATGGTTACGGCGAGACAACAACAACGAGGAACCAGAACATTACTATGGTTACTGGCGAGACAACAACAACTGAGGAACCAGAACATTACTATGGTTACGCGCGAGACATACAACAACCAAGGAACCAGAAACATTACTATGGTTAGCGAGCGAGACAAACAACAACTGAGGAACCAGAACATTACTATGGTTACGGCGAGACAACAACAACTGAGGAACCAGAACATTACTATGGTTACGGCGAGACAACAACAACTGAGGAACCAGAACATTACTATGGTTACGGGCGAGACAACACACACTGAGGAACCAGAACATTACTATGGTTACGGCGAGACAAACAACAAACCAAGGAACCGAGAACTACTATGGTTACGGCGAGACAACAAACAACTGAGGACCAGAACATTACTTATGGTTACAGGCGAGCAAACAACAACTGAGGAACCAGAACAATTACTATGGTTACGGCGAGACTAAAACAACTGAGGAACCAGAAACTTACTATGGTTACTGGCGGAGAACAACAACAACTGAGGAACCGAAAACGCATACTATGGTTAGGCGAGACCACAAGCAACTGGAGGACAGAACATACTATGGTTACGGCGAGACAACCCAACACCGCACTTGAGGAACCAGAACATTACTATTGTTACGGCGAGACAACAACAACTGATGAACCAGAACATTCATATGGTTAACGGCCGAGACAACAAACAATGAGAACCAGAACATTTACTATTGTTACGGCGAGGACAACAACACTGAGGAACGCAGAACATTACTATGGTTACGCGGCGAGACAACAAACTGAGGAACCAGAACATTGTACTATCGGTATACAGGCGAGACAACAACAACTGAGGTACCAGGAACATTACTGATGGTTAGCGGCGAGACAACACAACAACCTGAGGAACCAGAACATTACTATGGTTAGACCGAGACAACAACAACTGAGAGGAACGAGACATTACTATGGTTAACGGTGACGGAAGATAACAACCAACTGGAGGAACCACGAACAATTACTATGGTTAACGGGCGACGACAACAAAAGCTGAGGAACCAGAATTACTTATGGTTAGCGGCGAGACAACAACAACCATAGGAACCAGGACATTACTGATGGTTACGGCGGAGACACAACAAACTGAGGAACCAGACTTACTATAGTTACGGCGAGACAACAACAACGCAGGAACCAGGAACATTACTAATGGTTCACGGCGAGGACAACAAACAACTGAGGACGGAGAACAATTACTATGGTTACGGCGAGACAACAACAAACTTGGGAAACCAGAACATTTACTATGGTTACGACGGACGACAAACCAAGGACACCAGAACATTTACTATGGCCAAAAAAAACCATAAAACGAATACAAACAAACAACAAGGAAGGAACGCAGAACTTACTATGGTGTACCGATGAAACAAACAACAACTTGATGAAGCCAGAAACTGTTCTATGGTTTACCATGAAACATCAACACATACTAATAGACACGCAGAACATTACTATAGGCAACGAAACATAAAACAAAAACAGAACCAGGAAACCAGATACATTACTATGATGGTACCCATGAAACAAGCAACAACAACCATAAGAACCAGAACATTACTATGTTTACCCGCCATTACAAACTGAGTGAACCACACCAGTTATCCAGAATACACAGATTACACATGGTTGACCAAGACGTGTTTGACTCCGACAAACTACAACCGACCACGCGCCAAAATATTACTGATGGCGCACGAACGCACAAAACAACTAAGAGAGAGGACCAGGATTCATTACTATGGTTACAGAAACATTGAAAAAACAAACAAACCAAGTGAACGCAGAACTATTACTATGGTTACGAACATTGGAAAAACAAACAACAACCCAAGGACCAGAACATACTATGGTACGAAACATGAAACAATACAAACAAAACCAAGGACCAGAAAACGATTACTAATGGTACCATGAGACAACAACCAACAACAGACCCCCGGCAACCAGACGTGCAATATTACGGCTTTACACTATGACAAAATACACCGACAACACGCGATACCTAAACACGATCAACTACTTTACCGAGATCAACTAAGAAACCACTAACCACCTGATGAAATATGGCCTTTGGAATAATTCACCACTATTATGGAGTTAATTTATCTATATGATGATGTAGTCTGAATCTCCAATATCGTACTGAATGAAGACATGACTTATTTAATACGTTCCATTATGTGCCTTGACTTTATTACGATCAAAGATGGACATTACATACACATAATATAATACACTGCGCAGTGCAATTGTGGCAAATATTTATGCTACTGATTTTGAAATTTCCGTACTATTCTAGTTGAACGCATATTTGTGTATACTATATAGGAGTAGAGATTGCTTATATTTGATCGTGAACTGGCAGTATTATACACTGATTGTTCCTGCACTAAATCCTAACACAAAGTAAATTTGTTAACCATCAGGCATGACAACAATATTCTACGTTATAGTGTTTTCGCAGATTTTAAATGTATACCAATATGTTTGTAAAAACACGACGTTTTACGATCTGACGCCGTACGCTAATTCTAGTGTATTCGCAATATATCTAATCTGTACGAAATAGAAATTTTTATTAGAAGGTAAAGAAACGAAGTTATCGTTGATATTATACTGTCATAGAAGAGCTGGGTAAATTCAAAACTAACACACACTCCAGCTGTTTGAGGCTGTGGATGAAAGATTTAACATAAGAACAGAGCTCAAAGCCCTGAGACAATTCAATATTAGTATACAATATTGTTATTTCAATGATACAAAAATAATACATAGACAAGCTACCAGTCAAAAAAGTGTTAAGTGCCTTCCTAATGGAGCGCATTAGGTGAGGGAAAGATTTTACAGCGTGCTGTTAACAAAGGGGTAAACATTAGAGATTTGGTGCACACTTCAGTCAGGAATACGTCCGCGAAATATTTTGGGAGAAAATTGTATTGTGAGAGCGTTGAATGGCGTTACAAGGTGCAGATAATATATTCTAATATCGGGCAGAGTGTGTACTTTATGGGAAGAGAAATTGCAAATGCCCGCCACTATGGAGTTATAATATTGAGATCAATGGGGAGCTAGGGGGTGGAGCGGACTATTGCAGTTTTCACATCGTCACTTCCATAACCATTTGCAAAATGTTTTACGTTTTTGCTGACACGAATATGACATAAGAATTAGCACACCGTGTTGCATGATGGCAAAAAAGTGAGTGCCAAGCATTGAGAAAAAACTAAGCATTAGAATTGGAATTCCAGAAAGAATCCAAACGAAGGGCATAGTATTGTTAATGATGTGGATCCTGGCATTGATTCCACGACTACCAGGTTCCGCTTCCACATATACCTCTGCATTCAGGACTATTGAGTCGGTGGCCGCTCGCGCATGCGCTTTCGTGGCTTTCGCTCTTTTCGTCTGCCCATTTGCAGAATTCTCGGTGTGGTCTCAATGACCTTGATCAAGAAGGTCGTCAATGTATCTGTCAAGGGCATGTACAGCTTAGAGCTTTCTCTTTTCAATTGTTGGAACACTGTGGCAGCACGAATCTTTTAACTGAGCTCCTGAGTGACACAAAGTATAACTAATGACAAGAGGGTGATGAACGATATAAGCAATGGTTAAATGCAAGGCAATAATGGCAGGGCAGAGTCTGGCATTTATATTCTTCATTAATCTCACTATATTTCTGGTTCTACAAGCTTACGTGTGAACTTTCGTGAAGGCTTCCATTCTTAAGCCATAGCTTACCATGTACTTTATGTATTTAATGAAAACTAATAGAGCGCCTGTCTGATATTCGAAGGCTAGTGAGTTTTTCATTTGATTTCTACTATACTATATTATGATATGACATAACCGTCTTGTTCTAGTGCTGCATCTTCGTTGCTACGATGCCAAATTTTTACTATCTAAAAATTACAGCACAAAAAGAGCCTCTCCCATGTTGCACAATCATTTCTTCGTTCACGCTCTAAAAACACAGATCTACAACTGATATCTGGTCTATTGTTCATCATTTTCGAGAATGCGAAATGGTAAATTTCAAGCACGACTGCTCACTGGCGGTTCCTCCCATATTTGTGCGTAAGTCGATTAAGATAATCTATGCTGTATTTAGTGGCACCCCGCTTGCTCTTGGCTGAAGAGTGTGCAATACCGCGTTGGTATGTGCGATGACATCTGGTGCATCAACAAACGCTCAAGAACTTCTTCAGAAATCGCTACTAAGATGATGCGCGAACATAGTTGATGTCCGCCTGGCTACCTACAGACGGCAGCGAAGCGGGGTGAGAGAAGCTACATGTACACACGCGGGACCGTCACGAAGGTCTCGGCGGGGACGAGCCGCGCAGTGCCGATCGTACAGAATCTACAAGAGTTGAGCGCATAGGCCTAGAGGGAATGTGCTGTCGCACGGATAATCCGAGCAACAATAAATTGTCAATTCGCATATCGTCGGACAACTACAGATGATTAACAACCTGTGCTGCACGGATTCTTTGCACAACCTTACGCTCCTGCCTGTGAGCCAGCATAAGTTGTAAGCGTAATCCACCGCTAACTCAGAAAAACCAAGCCTACAACGAGCTCTTAGCAAGTACGACCTGTGTTTAGCCACACTTACATTGGCATATAAAACAGATTAGAACTTTTATTCATCAGTCATGCGTGACAGGAGGAGGATAGAAAATGTTAGCAGCACATGTTTATGGATTGCGAGCACAAAGTAACAGCTGGCAATTGATCAGAGCTAATCTGCTATTCTTGTTATCCTAATACAGAGTGCAAATTGAGCAGCTAAGCTCCCGCCTGTGCAGATGTGATAAGAGTAGAATGGAAATTATCGTAAGTCAAGCCATATAGTCTTCAAGGAGAAGCCAATTCTTCACTAAAAAGAAGGCCAGTGGCGCAACGGATAACGCGGTCTGACTACGGATCAGAAGATTCCAGGTTCCAAAATCCTGGCTGGCTCATACATTTTTCACCTTACAGACATTTTCCTTGTTTTAGAATTGGTCTATTTTACAACAGAGTTTTACACGCCCATTACTCCGAAAATATATGGCTATGGTGATCTCGCATCTAACACAAAATCTGTAAATGCAAAAACATGAGACTGTAAGAAATAATGATTGCAACCAAAACAATACCAGCTTCCACCAGAGTGCGTAAGCGTCTCTTCTTGTTTCACTTGGCAACAACTGGGGATCTTGTCGACGGCCATCTTATGCTAACGTTCCTGTTCATAAATGTCACGTCTCCTACAGACCCACAGCGACCGACATCCTGCAAAAACACGATTTGAGAAGCAGGCCTATGAAAGAACAGACACCCATGAAGATCCCTCAACTATGTTCGTTTACAGAAAGTTAATGTGAAGGCACATGTTGGCAAAATTCTGCCCAGTGCCGACTGGTTGGACGGTGCAGCTATCACCTACCTCTGGCGTAACAAGGTTCTCCCGGAAAGCGACTATGGTGGCCCTGCGACCACGGTCCGATAGGTCAGAGTTGTGCCTCTCTAGCGACTTGGATTTTGCCGACTTCAAGCGGTCAAGGTCGAGCAGGCGACATCCTGGCTCGCGTCACTCTCCGCCTAATGATGTCCGGCTGCTACTCCGCCGTGAAAAACAATAAAACCCACAGATATCATCGATGGGATCACGTCGAATTGTTTGGTGACTGAAACCCTTAGCCAGCCTATTGCAAACCATGGGGCTGGTACCATGCACTCTTTTCACGTGAATTTTAAGATCATCGCCAAAGGTGAAAATTTGAGAAAAATATCTACAATAACATCAACACGTAACGAAATCTATAAAAAACGAGTGTACAAAATATTGTTAAATAAAAAGATTATATTTGACCTAACGATCTTAAGCGTACTTGAAATGTTTAAATTTTAAATTATTTAAATTTAAAAAGAATATATCTATTCAGACAAAATCATTAGAAGGTATTTTAAAACAGTTGATTACCCATTTTGACAGCATGTTTTTTCCTGAGGCTGACATTTTTGGTATCCAGACGTGATGTCAGAATACCAAGGGTGCACCGCTTGCTTGGCTGACTTTTTCTTGATCCACGACTGCAAAAACCAATTCAGCGTCAATTAACTGTAATTAATCAGTGAGTAAAATGTCATCGTGGCTAATAATTAAATAACTAAATTACGATCTTAAACAACAATAAAAATTTAGTGAACTAGATCCAAAAGAGGATGAAAATCGATGTAAAAAACATGTGAAAACAAATGTCATAATTATAGTGATACTAATGCCCAGCTACCTTCTTCCTAAACAGGGAAGATGCATGTCCACTTCAACCTGTGTGATGACATCATCCTGCACTTCGCCGTGCATCATGCACGTTATCATGACTCACTTGTACAGAGGGCGCGCCGCCTTGCCAAAGTGTTCAGCTTGTTCCCTGAGTAGACAAAAAGAATAAAGTTCAATGATAACAATAAGCTTAATCAATCTTATAGTTAATCGTTAATCCCCTCCACGAGGGAACACAGAATGCTTTCAACACATATTCAGGGGCCAAGTTAATTTACGCGAGGCACGGTCCTGAACATTGTGTACAGCCATGGCCAGCTGAATTTATCATTGCATCAGGGCAGGCAACAACCTTCAGCATAATTTCAAATGCTCACCTCGCATGGTTGAAATCTGTGCGAAAATAGGCAGAAGGATATGTTTGGATACCAAATTGTATTGTTAGCTGTGGGTAGGTATAACCAGAACAGGTATGGATAATTGCATGCCTGCGCATGGCACGTTAGGTAAACCTCTGCTTGTTTGCGCTGTCACTACTATCATTAAAGAAGCACCGAGTTCAATTAATGCACGACACCATTACATGGGAAAATTTACTCAGCGATTTCTAAACGAGCAGCATCAATTTTCCTACACTCAAAAGTGATTAATCAATAGTAAAACTCGTTTTTTCCAGTACTCCACCCAAAACTTCACAAGCAGGAAGGTATGGAGGAAATAATTGGGAGAGAATATTCACTAGTTCTATTATTCTATAAGCAATGCATTTAACTTCAACTGTGATTAAGATATGTACCTAGATGTGACCATGGTCCACCCATGAATCGGAACGGCTGACAATGCTGACTAATATAATATAATACGAATATATATATATATATATAACATATATAAGCGAACTGCTCACCGACACTGTTGGCGACGTTGAAAATCGAGAGCCGACTGCTGCGGCCTTCTTCAGCTTGCCTTGCTCGGGAGACGCCTCCGTATGGTTTCTCACGATGCACGTAAGCCGCACCTCCAGCTCCCCGCGGTACTTGCTGTCCTTGTTGTCATGACGACCTCCAAGTTCCACCCACCTGCGTATAACAACCGCGCTAGTGATCACTTCTGGCCGTGAAAAACGTCATCGGTGAGCGATGCGGCCGTGTGACAGCTGATATAATACACAGTATATATCAACGGAAAGATTCTATTTACGACGAAAGTGGCGGAAACATATCATGGAATGATGTTATAATATAGATGAAATGCTTTTAAAGGACAGTAGGAAGTAACTGCAGAGTCGCGTGTATTTCTACTAACAATCACCGCTACTTATATTCAAACCTTTTCCACAATAGATTGATTACTACTAAAATAGACAACTCCCCCGTCCACTGTATTCACGCTCTACGTGCAGTTGCAAACAAACTCCACAGGCAGACACAAGTATAGCGCACTGACACCATCAGCCACAATCACCCCAGGGCGCATTCACATGTTCAAGCCAGATGACCTAGAAAAACCTGCATTTGCATCATGGGGGGTGGGGGACTATTTTGATGCTAGGGGCTTGTACTGCCACAGCAATTTGCAGTACCTACAACACGTTTTACACACAGACACATACACATACGCAGACTTGAATGCACATACACATGCTGACACATACAGCCTTGTACAGATTTTCGCTTGATCTGTTAGCCACGAAGGTTGGCAACCACTATTGGGCCATTGTGCAATTTGGCACTCGGTGAGTGAAAGCTGGAATTGTAAAAACACAAGGTGTTACGCCACAATCGTATCATCAGGCCAACACTGCACCATATATTACTGTGTATCAGTTCTCGTGTAGATGCTGTGCCACTCACTTCCCCACC